AACAGCGGTTATTCGCTTTGAATTCGAAACTGGAGTATTATTGCATCTGAATGTCGAGAATCCTCTAGAAGAAGATGACTACATATTAGCATATGTTAAAAGACCTGTCTGGGAAATAACTAGTGCTAAAACTAACAACCAGAAAACACATGTGAAAAACAACATGGCTCAGTTTGTACATTTGTCAATCCCATGATGCATCTCGCCCACGACATTAGAGGAAAGGACTGTTACAAAGTCCCATGAAAACTACCCCAGTAAGTAAGTTATAAAGTWAATTGGACGTTTTGCTTACTTCTCCGACAACAGGGGGCATATGGCTTCCATATGGAGGCTGGTTCCATGGCATTGACTGAGGATAGTACGGATGTTGCATCTGCTTAGATTTCTGCAAAGAGAAACAAATTTCTGCATCAGATATGTATAAGGTGATCACATGTTGAAATATGTGACTGAATATTGAGTTATTTGCATATGGGCATGTAATACATTTATTATTTTCTAAGCACCGAAGGTCTTTGAAGGTCTCAAATTCGATGATTTTAAAGACCAAAATATAGCACTTCATGCATGTGACCTTCAACAGGTTGCAATTTGGCGGCATTCAATTGATCAGCAATAGCTAGTTCATTAAAAATAATGCATTTGCTTTAAATATATCAAGGAAATAGTAATCATTATTATACAATGACAAACAAGAAAATTTTCAATGACTTTTCATGGCCCTAGACAAACTTTCATGACTTTCCCAGCCTGGAAAAGTAAAATATGAAATTCCATGTTTTTCCAGGATTTCCAGGACCCGTAGTACAAACTCTGCATCATTATTAGTGTGAACTCACCATTAGGTCCTCCATATCTTTTTTCAGACATTCATGGACTTTAGAGCTGACACGGTTTTCAGCAATTCTACAGTTTTCTAAAGCTTGATCTTCAGTTACTGGTGGTGAGCCATCAGAGCCNGTAATTGTACATACTCAAATTACACATGATACCAAGACCTAGAATGGAACAGGGCTAACTATAGTGATAGACCAGTATCTAACCACTCCAACCTTATGCTCTCCTTGATATCTTGTGGACAAGTGTTTTGAAAACCACTACTTACCTAACTTTTATTGACGTTGTGCCAGTTTCTTCCATGATACCTTTAAGATTACAACCTTTTCTCCCTGTGACACAGACAAAAGCGATTAAACATTTGGAAGATAGTAATGTTTGTTATTGTTTCAAGGCATTAGCTACAAGGGATAAATAGTACAGTGGCTGAACAATGATAAGAGTAAAAACACTAAAAGTATGCTGCATAAACACCACTGCTAATTCTATTGTTTTCCATAGTTTARTTAGAGTGATTGCACTTAAACCATTCAACTGYACAAAATCTAAGTAGTACTAATTTGTRYTAAAAGTGGACCTGRAGCAAGACGGTATTGAATGCTTCATGTTTATCAATTCAATTTAATTTGCATACCACATGCGTGAYTTACTAAATACAACTAAATAGCACTAGTTTGCACRGTTGCACGGTTTAATTGYGATCATTTTAACACTACT